TCGAAAAGACCCTGATGCTGGGAGGGATAGGGGGCAGGAGGAGAAGGGGACGACAGAGGATGAGATGGCTGGATGGCATCACCGACTCGATGGGCATGAGTTTGAGTAAACTCCGGGAGTCTGTGATGAACAGGGAGGCCTGGCCTGCTGCGATTCATGGGGTCACAAAGAGTCGGAAACGACTGAGCGACTGAACTGAGCACATACATGTGGAATTTAGAAAGATGGTAATGATAACCCTATATGCAAGACAGAAAACGAGACACAGATGTATAGAACAGACTTTTGGACTCTCGAGACACAGATGTATAGAACAGACTTTTGGACTCTATGGGAGAAGGCGAGGGTGGGATGATATGAGAGAACAGCATCGAAACATGTAATATTATCAAGTGTGAAACAGATCGCCAGTCCAGGTTGGATGCATGAGACAAGTGCTCAGGGCTGGTGCACTGGGATGACCCAGAGGGATGGGATGGAGAGGGAGGTGGGAGGGGGGTTCAGGATGGGGAACACATGTAAATCCATGGCTGATTCATGTCAATGTATGGCAAAAACCACTACAATATTGCAAAGTAATTAGTCTCCAACTAATAAAAATAATTGGGAAAAAAAAATAAAAAATTTTTAAAAAAATAAATAAATAAAATAGGAAGGTCAAGACCAAAAGAGCCAAAGAAGGATAAGTCAGGGACTGTCTTTCACCACAAGTCTTCTACTATTTGACTTTTTAGAAGCATTTATTAGTCTGGTAAAAATTGGCAAAATCATCTAAATACTTTTCCATCAACAGACAAATACTTAGTTCCTTTCCACAAAGTTATCCCAAATATATTTTATTGAGAGGGCGGGGCACGACTCTTGTTCAGACACACCAATGCATAGCAGTTATTATTAGATACTTACAGACAAAACATTAAAAGAAGAAGGTTGGAAAAACACTGCCTCACCTCATTACACAAAAACAGACAGGAACTAGACAACAATTTGCAAAATAAAATAGAAAGCACTTTCAGAACACCGTTTCCATACAGCATCTCATAACTCTTACTAGATGCATGCTCAACATCAACATTTCTGCTAAGGTCAAAATCTCTGTAAGACACAAAGAAGATGTTCTTTCTCCAGATTCAAAACAGATGAGGTGCACTGCAGAGCTCCAACATTGTACAAAAGCCTTCTAAACAAGCAAAACATCCTCCTAGAAAAATTCATGATGGAACTTAGACGAACACCATACCTGAAAAGGGGAAGTCTGGGTCAAAGAAGCATTCGTTAAACTCCGCTGCTCAGCAACGAAACGAATTAGATGATTTGTTTCAGGAAGGCCCCGAAGACCAACTGTAGAGCGCCGTCTGGACTTTTTAAGGTAGAGTGATGACTTTCCTGTAATGAAAACTCTCTTTTAAGTTGGAACAAAACAAAAGGCAATCATCAGTAATCCTGCCCTGAACACCCCCATGACCCACTAGCCTGAGAGAGAACATGGGAAAAAAGTGGTACAGAAATCTAAATGGAAAACTGTAAGGAAGACTGTTCAGACATCATCAGTTTTTGGGTAGGGACCTTTGTTTTGACTACTGATTTATTCCATGCCCTGGAGCTGTGCCCAGAATATAGAAAGCGTTTATCAATAGTTGTGTAACACATTTGAATTAACATGTCTCATATTTTGTTTCATATTTCCTGCACAGGATTGGTAACGGCTTGCTTTGGACTAAGAATTTCCCTTTTTCTGAATTAGTCTAATCTCCAAGGATGCTCTCCCCTTTGGCCTATACTTTCAAGTTCTGCTATCTCAAGACGATTTGTTTCTCCTCGATATTTGTCTACCTTCAGCACATTACCCTGAATTCCAGCTGCACACCTAAACACACAAAATAAGTCGAGCTTTCTAAAGGTCTAAACATGTTCTTTTTTTTTTTTTTTTTAAAGTTGTGGCATTCAGGGTCCAGTTTCCAGACCAGAGGTCCAACTTTGGCCCCCTGCATTGGGAGCTTGGAGTCTTAACCACTGGACCACCAGAGAGGTGCCAAGTGGGATGTTCTTGGGAAGGGAGCACAGGCTGGTTTGCTACTACGGTCTTGTCTCCATCATGTGTTATTAAGTTAGTGCCCTTTGGCTTTCTACACATTTTCCTCCAGGTCTAAATGCTGTTCTAATTCCACTCCTATTATTTCTTTCTTCTCCAGCAAAAACAGACTTCAAAAGTGAATTTTATTTCTACTTGTAAGGGAGATTAGCCCAGGTCAATTTTCTGTTTGTAAGTTCGAAAAGGCATACTCTACTCTTTAAATTTCTTATTTTCTTAGATGCCCTTCAACTTTCTCTCATTTTTGCTATACATGACTGTCAAATGTATTAGTATTTAGGGCATACGCCATCCTGTATTCCATGTGTTGGGTCAAAGAGCAATTTGGACACATATCCTTCTCCAGTTTAAATATGGTGCATAGCTGTGACTCAGGAACATCATCATTTTGGTGCCCTGGGACCCTGATCTAGTAAGTTTGAGAGCCAATCAATTTAGATACATAACATACTAAGCTAGATGGGGTAGGTGAACAGTACTGAGTTTAATTTTTAAACTTTTAAAAGCACTGCAACAAAGGGACAACAGTTCTTACCTGAAGAGTTATTTACAAAGCTTTCAGGTGTAATTCCCAACTGCTCCACCGTTACTGTGGAAAAGTTCAAAGGAGATTTAAAAGTCTCTGATGTGCAATCATTAGGAGTCATTTCAGCTCCCTGCTTGTGGGGAGTTACAAGCTTCCCATTTCCCAAAATGAAAGGGGTGTTTCCTGAAACAGACAACATGTGGTAGAAGTTAAGCATCATTAGAAGGTAAATATTTAAACCTTAAATTTCACAAAGAGACAACAGGTCTCTACATACCATTGTTATTAATAGAAGACTCCTTGGTTTGAAGGGGCTCGCTGTCTTGTGAACAAGTATCCATCTAAAGAGAGAGAGGAGAAAAAAGAAAAATAACCCACCTCCAAGATTAATGTGATTTGATTGAGATCCTCTTTCAAGACTGAATTCTAATACAATTCATGTTGTTGCTGTTTAGTCGCCAAGTCCTATTCAACTCTTTTGTGTTCCCATGGACTGTAGCCGGCCAGGCTCCTCTTTCCATGGGATATCCCAGGCAAGAATACTGGAGTGGGTTGCCATTTCCTTCTCCAGGGGATCTTCCCGACCCAGGAACTGAACCAGACAGCTCCTACGCTGACAGGCGGATTCTTTACCAGGGAAGCCCAACACAATCTACACTGGCACGAAAACAGGTGTCAAAAGACTACTTTAGAACCTCAAAGAGGAGTGGAGGAGACTGCTCTTCGGGATGAAACGAAGCACACCCCATAAGCCAAGGATTTTCAACCTTAGGGAACATCGGACTCATCTGGGCACTCTGTTAGAGACGCACCTTTTGCAGACTCCCCAAAATTCTAATTCAGGAGGTCTGCCCAGACCTCAGGAGTTTGCATATTAAAAAGCACGCAGGAGATCCAGTGGAACACACTGCTGAGAAAACACCCCGAAGAAATAGCTCTGCGGCACTGTGCTGCGCTTAGTCGTGTACGACTCTGTGACCCCGTGGACTGTAGACAGCCAGGCTCCTCTGTCCATGGGACTATCCAGGCAAGAATACTGGAGTGGGTTGCCCTTCCCTTCTCCCGGGGATCTTCCCAACCCAGGTCTTCCGCATTGCAGGCGGATTCTTTACCGTCTGAGCAACCAGGGAAGCCCTGAATCTGCAGTAGTCTCTGAAATCCCAACCAGATCACCTGCCTTACCTCCCGTAGGGTTTATTTCGAACGCTACTCCGATGAATATTGAGACTGCCGTGCCTTCTAGATCTCGGCTCTTTGGTCCTGAAGCATTCGCTCGAGAAAACAACTATCGGCCGCCAAGCCATCCGCTGGGGACTCCAGATCCCCCGCCGCCAACACCCCAACCTGCGGCCGGAGTCCCTTACAGCCTTCCTTCCGCGAGGGCTCGGACCGCCACCCGATTCAAATTGCCGGCCCCGCCTCCTCGGCGTTCCGGCGTTACTTTGAGAATCTCTACGCCGCCGCCACCTGCACGTGTGCGCGCGCACCCCGAACCCTACCAGGCCTCTACATCGCCGTCCCAGGAACAAGAGTGGCTTCGTGGGCTCGAAGAGACACCACCACTAGCTGCCGGTAACACACTGACCAAAGAGACCAGCTGTTGGCCTCTGTCCGCAGGGACTACTTTTTGTGAGAGCCTCGCGGAAGATCCCTTCGGTTAGTTTTTAGCTCCGTCCCCGCCTTTCGATTGGATGCTGCAAACTTCGAAAAGACTCCTTGGACCAATCAGGGCAGAAAAGCGGGCCGGCTCTTACCCAATCAGCGAGCCCCAGACTCAGCCGTTTCCTCTGTGGGTTGGGCGAGGGGGAGGTGTTAAAGTTGGGAGGCTCTGACTGGTTATGGATCACTTCCAGCGCTCCACCTCCTTCTCTCAAGCCCCGCCTTCGTATGCAGATTCTCTCTACCTGGTGTTGGCTTTGCGCCTGCTCAGTAATGCTTTGAGCCGCCGTTCGGCTCCAGGTTGAGCTCTGATTGGCTGATAATCCTTCCCTGTCGGCTAGACCGCAGCCTCTCTTCCCTCCTTCCACCTGGGCTGGGTTAGTAAGAGCCCACCCAGTGCAGGCGGATGATTGGTTGAGTGCTGCCCTGCGCCGCCGGGTGATTGGCGGAGCTTAGAGTCAGTCTGGGAGAGGTGGGGGAAGGGCCCCAGACTGACTGAAGAGCCCAGGGGCGGGGTGGGAAGGAGGACCGGCCAACCTTGGGGTGTGGGACGGAGTGTGCGTGCTTGTGTGTGTGTGTGTGTGTGTCAGTGAAGGAAGGAAGGTGGCGAAGGGAGGAGGGTCCGAGTGGGTGGAGGGAGGGGAAGGGCGGGAGAAGAAGAAGGTGGGAGGAGAGACAGGTGGGAGGGTGGCGACTCACTCAGGATCCGGCGGGGGCAACGCGATGAGGCGGGTGACCCTGTTCCTTAACGGCAGCCCCAAAAATGGAAAGGTAAGGGGGTCGGGAGGAGGCGAGGCGGCCGCGCTGCGGGGGGCGAGGGCAGCGGAGTGCGGAGCGGGCTCGCGGGGCAGAGGGCTGAAGTTGGGGAGAGGCACTGGAAGCGGGGAGGTGGGCGTGCGCCGGGGCGGGGGGCGTCCGGGAGGAGGCCGACCTTGGGTCCCAGAGGCCTCCTCCCCAGCCCCGGGATCCCTAGCCCGCGCCTGCCCTTGGACTCCCCAGCTGCTCTGGGGACCGGCGCAGGTCAGTTTGTGCTCAATCGTTCTCAAGCCTAGGTGTGGGTCCTGGAGTACAGAGGACTCGGAGGGCGTGGGCACGGTCGCTGTCACCTGATGCTCAAATTCCGCTTCCCACCTCCGCCAAGACCCCGCTGCCCCCCGCCCCTGGCTGCAGAAGGCTCTGGTTCCCACCTTCGTGCTGAGTAATGGTCCGCTCCAGAAAGTGCTGGTTAACAACTAAAGCATTTAAGGGTGATCAGGTGAAAACAATTAAAACTTTCTATCCTGGCTAAGTAAAATGTTCTCTCAACCTAAGTCGAATAGAGGGATGAAATAATACTGACATTTTCTTGATGGTTACCCCCCACCCACACACACACACACTTTTAGGAGCCCACAGCACCACCGCCGCCAAAACTTATGCACTCGCTTTATTAATATTTCGTACTATTTTAGTTTCTTAGAGGACTGGGACAATAGACCGAAGTGGATGGATTGGACATTACTCTTTGCTGTGTTAGGCCTTTGTTGAGGGTGTGGTGCTGAATATTTTTCCATCGCTGGAGCAAGCCAAAATGTATCCTGTTCCTTCTCAGCCCCTTGCCCCACCCATGAAAGTTGTTCGGCGTCTTTGGAAAATTTGACCGTTCAAGGCAGACATTTATGGTGTGGCTGAATAACATCTAGAAATTACTAAGCCTTAGAGTCGGAGTTGAAGGTAGATTGGGCTCCCTGTCTTATCTGCCAGCATGTTTTCCGCATCTTTTGCACACACTAAATTTTTAAATAGCGCAATTGTGCCACGGTATAAAAAAATGGCTTTCCAACTACTCTGCAGTTTTGAGTGAAAGTGCTCCAAAGATTTGAACCACGCTGTAGTTTTTTGACTGCAATTATCGTGTTCTTCTGGTTTTCGAGATTTAATACTCATTAAAAAAGAAGTAGCATAAATTCAAACAATTGAGTTTTCATAAATTCTTCACAACATTCACTTTATTTCTGACTATTAATTTTTCTGTACCTGTTTGGTCTGTTGATAACTACTACTCATAACCCAAAATATATGTTGTTACTGGAAGAAAGATTTAGTATATCCAAAGTTACAATTGTAGTTCGTTCTCAAAAACAGGCCTGGGACTGACCCTTTTCTTCAACATCTCTGCTTTGTCATTTCATGGAAGACAAGATGTTTAGACCCAGCCATAAATTTTTAACTACTTCTGAAACTACTGAATTTATTCTTGTCAAAAATTGGCTGGCTTAATCTTGCCATATTTTTATTAAGGTGGCTTTTTTTTTAAACGTACTTTTGACTAGGTTAGCTTTTTGGATTTAAATATTAGTTTACTTAAATATTTTTCTAGAGAATCTCAGAAAATTGGAAAAAAAAAAACTTCTCAAATAGTTAAATGTTTGTTGCAAATGTTATAAAAACCCAAATTGGAAAAGACTAATATGATTCAATATTGAAAATAAGTCAGGGGCTTCCCTGGTGGTCCAGTGGTTATAGGATTCCAGGCTTTCACAGCTGAGGGTGCAGGTTCAATCCCTGATCAGGGAATTAAGATCCCACAGACACTGTGAATCAACCAAAAAAATTAAAAAGTCACATGATAATCTTTATTGCTTAACTGAAAAACATATTCTGTGCCAAAGTTTTCAGTGTTTCCTCCCCTCCCCTTAAATTGATTAAAAAAAACTACTACTGATTTTAAAAAATTACTCTTATTTGACCAAAGAGAGCAGAATAATACATAACAGCCTGCATTTTTGTATAGATAAAGTGACTGTACTTAGCCAGGGTTGGCATGATCTCGACATGATTTTCATGAAACTGAAAGAGCACTATTGCAAGATAAACAGTTTGGTCTCTTGTCCACCAGTTGGAATATCTGTGTCACTTTCATTATCTCCTTACTTATCTAGCTTCTGTTTTTGTTACCTGGCCCTAAGAGTAATGCCTGTTTTTTTCCCACATAAGTTTCTCTCCTTTAAAGCATGTTGAGCAGTTGCCAACACTGGGTGGTGAAGCTTGGGGTTGGAAAGGCAGAGTCGTATCCAGCTCTGCATTTTTTGGTCACTGCAGAAGACAACATATGCTCACCACAACTTTTGACTTTTGTGTATGTTGAGTAAACAGAAGTATAACTATTGAATGTTTTGATGTTGAAGACAGGTTGGGGGGAGGGGTGCGTTGTGCCTTCTTTAAAGTGATGCTTTCCCAAGTGAGATTGTCTACCTCACAGGGTGTGCAAGAGGATCCAGTACTTTAAGAAGAAATAGTACACCTTTTAGGTTTTGTTTTGTTTTTTACTTAAAGATACAAAATTACATCAAGACTTGATTTTGCCAATCCGGAAGGACACAGATTGCACACAGGTGCTTTTAGTCCCTTGAGTGGGTCAGCTGGTTAGCTGCTCCCTGAATGTATATTGTTCTTTGAAATAGTAGCCAATGATAGGATGAGATCATCCCAATTAGCAAGATACTTAAAAATATTTTCCAGCACACAAAGATCGCTTTAGACTTTTTTTCTTTTAATGTTTAAAGTCAATCTTATATTTGGCAGGAGTTCACTAAATTTAATGATATATATTTAAGGGATTTTTACTGGTTGACTCATTGTCTTAAGTCAATAAAAGTCCTTTTCTCATTTGGGAAATTATATTTTTCCTGACAGTGGTGTATACTTTATAAATAAATGAATACATGGATGTTTGAGTGTATCCCCCAAGTGTTTCATGGATGGGTGCCTAGTCCAAAGAACTTGAAGGCCGTATTTCTAAAAAATTGAACTCTTTAAATTTTCATTTTTTTAAGTTGCTGCCAGAGTCAGGTTTGAATCTTTCATCCTTTCTCCACATGCCTCAGAATTTCTGTTCTCTTTTACTATTGTCTGTAACAGTTGGCATCAAGGAATTTAAAATGAGGATGCAGTTGAGTGGCTTCTGATCTACCTGATGTCAGTTCCATGTTTCTGAGCGTTGTGGACTTAAATTGCTTTTACCAGGCTTTTTGTATACCTTATTCATTCATTAAATCAGCAGTGCCTGAGTACTGTCATATGAAGTACCATGCCAGGCACTGCAGCCACAGTGGGATGTGAAATAAACCTTAATTCTGTACCGATGTTTACAATCTTGGCCCAGGACCTGTTTAAATCTGGCTTTAGAATTAAGTCAGAAATATGTTGTTAGTAAGTGTCCAGAGTTGAATTTGTTGTATTAAGTTGAAGAAAGGTGAAAACTCTATGTAAAGCTTCTGCATATTGAAATCAAAATAATAAGAAACTTGCTTTCTGGACTTGAGTTCTTCATTGAATACATTTCTAAGATTTCATCCATATTGTCCCACACAGTGATAGTTTAGTCATTTTCACTCCTTTGTAATAATTATGCAAATTATACACAAACACTATCACAATTTACCCATTTTCCTGTCAGTGGACAGTTGGGGTGTTTATTTCCTTTATACTTTGTTGTGAAATTGATAGTCCTGCTATGAATAGTCTGGCATGGCCTGGTGCGCATGTGCAAGCGTCTTTCTAGGGGGATGGTTTGCACACTTCAGCATGCATTGGAATCATCTGGAGAAATTGATCGACTATTGCTAGGCCCCACCCCCAGGGGCTTTCCAGGTGGCTCAGCGGTAAACAATATGCCTGCTAATATAGGAGACTCAAGAGATGCAGGTTTCATTCCTGGATTGGGAAGATCATCTGGAGGAGGAAATGGCAACCCACTCCAGTATTCTTGCCTGGAAAGTTCCATGGACAGAGGAGCCTGGCAGGTTTTAATCCATGGGTTGCACAGAGTCGAACCCTGGGCCACAGAGCACACACCACCCCCAGAGCTGTAAATTCCCGGGGTCTGAGGTAAGGCTGGGAGTTTAATTTTTAATCTACCCCTCCATGGTCGTAACACTGTTAGTCTAGAGAGCTCACTTTCGTGAACCACTGCTCTAGGGTTGTAATTATTGGACGTTAGTTTTTTGTGAATGTTTAGTTTTTGGAGAAGGAAATGGCAACCCACTCCAGTACTCTTGCCTGGAAAATCCCATGGATGGAGGAGCCTGGTTGGCTACAGTCTGTGGGGTCGCAGAGTCGGACACGACTGAGCGACTTCACCTTCACCTTCAGTTTTTTTTTAAGAACTCCAAGTTTTTCAAAGTCATTGCAATAATTTATATCCCATGAAAATGGTGTAAATCCCCTTGTTAATCCATATTCTCTTCAACACTTGCTGTGGTCAGACTATAAAAATTTGGAGTATTTTAAGATTTGTCTTCCTGAGGGAGAGTCATCATTTTTAGGAATAAAATAATTTTAATTTTTAAAAATGTATGAAGTGGAAAGTGTAGATAACTTTATTCTACATTAAGTTATTGTGATTGGTGGGCCAGTTGGGTAAATTGATCTGCATAAATCCAGTAAGTATTTATTGATTATATATTATGTAATAGGTACTGTGGGCATATAAGAAAAACACGTTTTAAATATAGGTTTTACTTTTAAATTTGAATAACATAGGTTATGATTTGAGAACGGTACTTAAAGGTAAATTAAACTTCATTAAACTGAAATGTCCTGGTAGGCATTTTTTACTTTCCTAGTCGGTGGATAGCTTTCACTTGTAATGGGATCTGAACTTTAGAAAGAATTAAGTTAAACACTAATATAATCTAGTGGCCATAAAGTTTAGTAGATATACTTCTCAACTTTCTCCAGAGAATGCTTCCATTCCAAGTATAGTGCCTAGGTTATTAAAATGGGTACTCACAGTGACATGAAAACTTGAAGTCCATACTAGGAAGTATAATACACATGAAACAGATAGCCACTGGAAGCATGAACATTTTATAAACTCTTGGCCTCTCTGAGGACTGGAGTAATAAGCTTAGTAAATAACAGAATTCATATCCATGACATACAAGCTTTCCAACGTCACCTTTTCTCAACAGTGTTGATATGTAATGAGAGGTACATATGTAGCCTGTTTGAATCTCACCAACTTAAAATCTTTTCCAGGTGTATCACATTTTAAAAATTGTATCCCATTTTAAAATCTGATTGGTTTATATAAAAGATTTTAAGTATTATGTCTGCAATCTTATTTGTGAGTTATTTGTTAGTATACTCAAGAGAGTCAACTAAAGCAATTTTGTTGAAAACAAATGCCACAATTGCCTTTCAAATGAAAAATGAGTATATTGGCCCAACTTAAAGGAAAATTTCAAATATTCAGTACCGTAAGATTTTTGCAGTAATTTCAGTGCTATCTTCTCTCATCGATGGCCCTTTGGTGATCTCATTTAAAAAACATTGTCCATTACCAGAATACTTGTCAATTGCTAAAATAATTCTTATTTGTAAATCTAGTATCTAGAGCTATGGAAACTGTAAGTTATAACTTTTTTCTCTTATTGCACAAATAATAGATGTTCATTGTAACAAGTCTGGAGTACAAGAAGTCTCACGAGTTAAGTGGACCTTAATTCTACTATCCAAAGATGGCCACTTTCCATAGTTACATGAACTCTATGAACATTACTTTAGAATTGCATTTCTGCCGTGTACTTTGTTATTTACCTAATGTCAGTGGAAAAGACTTAAATATAATTGACTCACACAAAAAGATGCCTCCTCATTCAGCACTCTGAAAGCAATGAAAATTTCATCTGACATTCAGTAAACATTTATCAGAGTCCTACTATGAACCAGATATGTACCATGACACTTAAGAGGATCCTTCTTGTTAAACTGGCTGGAGTTGTTTTTTTTTTTTTGAGGGTGTCAAGAGATGTGGGGTGTACAGGGAGGTGCTTCTTCAGTGCTGCTCTGAAGGAGCAACAATTACAGGGGCTTGTTGGTTACCTAAATTCACAGAACAAATAACGAACTTTTTACAAATTTAATTTTTATTAAAACTTTACAGCCTAGATAGGAAGTCAGGTTAGAAAATATTTGGTCAAATGATAAATTGTGTTCAGTACTGTTAGGGCTTATTTATGTCATAAAATAAAGGCAAACTCAATTTGTGTCTAGAATGTGCTCATTAGAAGTTCTACAGCCTACAAAAAAACACCTGTTGTACTTTGATTGCCCTGAAATTGCCAAACTGTGTGGTGTGTGGCTTTTTTTAACCTTATTTTTACCTTATAATGAAATTTTACTTCAGTGGGAAATGAAACATGGCAACTACTTCACCTTCTCTACAAAAAAACAGGATTTAAGTTGGACTCTACCACTTTGTTAGTAGAGTTGGGTTGCAGCCCCATTGTGGCTCGCTATGACATAGTCAAGCCTAACAATATAGTTGTTTCTTTGTTCTCCATTTTATTCTGCTCTTTGAAACTGGTATTCAAAGAACTTCTGCGATGAAGGAAAGCTTCCATATCTGTGCTGTTCAGTATGGTAACCACCAGCCAATGTGGCTGCTGATCACTTGAAATATGGCTGATGTAACTGATGAACTGACTTCTATTGTAATTAGTTGTAATAAAATTAAATAGCCTCTGGAGAAGGGAATGGAAACCCACTGTAGTATCTTTGCCTGGGAAATGCCATGGAAAATAAAAGATTATTATGCCTGATTATTTTCTTTATTATGGTAAGGAGGAAATGCAATATCCCAAAATGTATCAGATGCAGCAAAAGCAGTTCTAAGAGAGAAGTTAGTAGTGATAAATGCTTACATTAAAAAAAAGGCGAGATCTTTAATAACTAACTTAAAAAAATTTTAATAGCCTCTCATAGCTAGTTACTTCCAAGTTTGACAGCATGGCTTTCAAATGTAGTAGGTGCCCTTTATTTTCATGAGGAAACAGCTGACCCACAGAAAAAATTAAGTCAATCATATGGAAGTAGAAAACAATTTAATTTGTAGTTTTGAAAAAAAAAGTATAAAATGGTATGCTCTACTATTTAAATTCAGGAGCATAATATAGAGAGATACATTAAATTTTCATCATTTTATGTTGCTTGAGAGGGAGAAGTAAAAAGAAATGGGGTGGAGAAAGTTGTTCTTAGGGCAAGGAGGGGATAATGTCAAGCAAAATAAAGCCATGTGAAGATACACAAGAAGCAGAGAACCAAGAGACCAACCAAAGCAAGTTCAGAACAACTTTTACAGCCTGGGAACTGCTAGGGGAGAGGAGGAAAATCCTTTCCAACATCAGCATTCTTGTTATAGTTGCTATTATACTAAGAATTTTCTAGATCTTTCTCCTCTGGAACTCTGTGCCTGAAATGACAGAATTCCAGACTCTGCTGCAAAGGTGAAAAATGATATGAAACAGAAGGGACACATTTTCTTCAGGCTACAGTCATTCATGGCAGGTCTGCAGTGTACAAAAGACAGTGCCAAGTGCTTTTCGTGATTATTTATCGTGTTAAAATATACATAACGTAAAAGTACGATTTGAGCCATTTTGAGAACACGTCTCATCAGCATTAAGTATATTCACAATGTATATGACCCGACCACTTTTTATTTCCAAGACTTTTGCATCATCCCAAACAGGGTCTATGGTACCCGTTAAGCAGTAACTCCATTCCCCCGTCTGCTCAGGTCATCTTTCTTTTGCTTTCTCTATGAATTTGCCTGTTCTGAGTACCTCAAATAAGTGGAATCATGTGATATTTGTCCTTTTTTTTTTTTTTTTGGTCTGGTTTATTTCACTTAGAGTAATGTTTTCAAGATTCATCTATGTTGTAGCATGTATCAGATTGTATTCCTTTTTATAGCTGAGTGATATTCCATTGTATAAATATACCACATTTTATTTATCCTTGTGTTTATGAGCACTTGAATTGTACATTATTTTTAATCATCCACCTAGTTCCCTTTAAACTGTTTGCCTACAGCCCTTACCTAAGTGCCCCAACTTGCAACAGTTCTGATAGCTTATGATCCAAAATAAAACAGTTGGAATCTCTACTATGCTGTTGAGAGATTGGGCACTCCTATACTGGCAGGCAACCCCTTCCATGCTCCATTATTCATTTACTTAACAAAAAATTCAGTCTACTATATATACTCCAGTGACTAGTGAACAAATGACCAGCTCTGGTCCACATTTCATATGACACCTTTATCCAATATTTTATGGGAAGTTTCATGTCATGCTTCAGTTCAGCTCCTCACCTACTTTTTATTCATAATTTTCAGAGATCTGATAGTGGTACAACTATACAACAAAGCCACTGGAAGCATATGGTTACAGTTAGGACCAGAGCCAAAAATTCACTCCATGTGAATAGTCTAAACCTCTTACACGAGCAGTTGCATGTATGTTGCACAAGTATCAGGCTGCCTGTTTAAAGGAGCATGGAGCAATTCATCGCAACCCAGCCCTGTGCTGTATTTAGCCCAAATCTGGCTTTTATAAAATAATACAGTTATTGAAGTTAAATGAAGTGGGAAGTTGTTAACTGTTTATAAGATACTTGATATGGTAAATGTTTTAATAAGCAGTAATTTTTTTTTTTTATAAATCATTCCTTTAACAAAGAAGTCATGTAAAAGCAACAACATAAAGACTTAATAGGTCCCAGGCACTTTTCGAAGCTCTGATCATGCATTAATTCATTTCATTCTCCTGACAACCTTCTGATGCAGGTGCACTATTCATTTTTCCTTAAAGCCACAGAAGCATGAAGAGGTCAAATAAATTTGTTTTGAGCTGACAGCTAGGAAATGGCAGAATCTAAATTCAAGTGTGGGTCTCTTAGATCAGAACTGGAGCACTGTTTAACGTACTATAAGATTGTATCAGTATTGTATCAGTAGTTAGAGCTGATTTCTCTAGTTCTGGATTTCAACAGTATTGTGGCACTAAGTAAATATTTGAGTCATCAAAAGAAGAGAGACACTGTTAACACATTATTGACCAGGGGAATTTTGCAGAAACTAACCCCTGAGGCAGACTTCCCAGGTGGAGTGCCTGTCAATGCAGGGTACACGAGTTTGATCCCTGGGTCGGGAAGATCCCGTGGAAAAGGAAACGGCAGCATGTTCCAGTCTTCTTGCCTGGGAAATCCCATGGACAGAGGAGCCTGACGGGCTACAGTCCACGGAATCACAGAGAGTTGGATATGACTGAGCATGTGTGCGGACGCAAACACGTTACATGCGGCATTAATACATCTCAGGTCAATAATGTGTTAAGGATCTCTCAGAATCTTTTTATGTGATAATCTGATTTTTTTTTAAAATTTGTTTATAGTGTGGTGGTTTGTAATTTGGAAGTGACAAAATTGATTATGTAAGTTGTTCAAATTAATCTGGTGTGTTTGCAGGTGGTCGCTGTATATGGAACTTTATCTGATTTGCTTTCTGTGGCCAGCAATAAACTCGGCATAAAAGCCACCAGTGTGTATAATGGGAAAGGTGGACTGATTGATGATATTGCTTTGATCAGGTAACCTTCACCTTTTTATTAGCTGTCTACAGTGTACCCTCAGCTCCTTGGTGCTATGCTGTCCCCCTTAAGTGGTAGTTAATCCCTATTAAGAATACAGAATTTTGGCAAATGATTGACTGGAATTTACTGTTTGGAATTTAAATAATTTGGTACACTGATCAGCTAGAAAACCCTGAGTACATTCCAGTATACTCATAGTCTTTCTGCAGAGTCCATGTATGCTTGTGAGGACCTCTTTATATTACTAGAAATGGATCTAATAAGACATGAATTCTTAATGTTAGAAATTTAATTGCTCTCTTTTATGTGGTGCTGCTTATTGTTCAATTCATTTTCTAAGAACTCTTTTGAATTTTATAAGCGTCACGGAGAGCTACTCTGGGGAAAACTTGCCAAAAGTAAGATAGAATGTTAACTATAGTTAACTTACCCATGATCCACCATGATAGTGGTTTTGGTTGGTTTCTTTTGGGGTTTTGTTTTTTAAGTATGCCAGGCATATTGTAAAACCAGTGTCCAGTTCACCTCATTCCATCCTCATGGGATCATAGACTTTTGGAGCAGGAGTGAGCTTAAAGAAGATGGAATGGGAGCAGATACTAAGTATTGACACTGTGCTAATTATGTTGTATTTGCTTTGCTCACATTACCTCATTTAATTGGCAAAGGCATGGGCTTTTTAAAGTTGATGTTGTGAAGATGATGCTCTAAATTATGGTAGTATACAAAATTTAATTTTCATTTAAACCCAGCTTAGAATAACATTTCAGTATAACATGCTGCCGTTAAACACTTCTGGCCCCTTTGTTTTATGCATGAGAAAATTAAACATCTGAAAAGTTGAATGATTTACCCAGCTCATATGGTTTAATAGTTGACTTTGGTTAATGAGAGGAAAACACATTTTTGTATTAGTCTTAAAAAATTAACTGGCATGGTGAACAAGCAGAAAAGGTTATAAGCTTAAAATATACAGATTTAAAATACAAATAAATTGGGAGAATTTCTTAGTTTTTAAGTATTTATTTCCCAGCTTTGGTTTCTTTGGATTATCACATTGTTGAATGATTTATATCAACCTTAATTTCTCCTTAAGAAACACTCTGCTTCCAAGGAAAGTTCTGTGTTCCTGTGTTGTATTATTTAGAAATATAATTTATACTTTAGAATTAAAAATTTCTACAACATAGGTTGTAATTGAAGAAGGTCATAACTGAAACCTTCTGAATTATAGAATACCTACTGTTTAGAACTCAAATTGAGTTCTGCCAGAGGGGAAGGAGGTTCAGATTAAGAGGTATAAACTTCCAAACAAAATAGGTAAGTCACAGGCATGTAATTTGCACCACAAAGAATACAGTCAGTAATACTGTAATAATTTTGTATGGTGACAGATGGTTACTTATTGTGGAGTGGCCATCAGATGGTAGACTTATTGTAGAGATCATTTCATATATTTCATTGTCAAATCACTGTATTGTACACTTGAAACTAACATAATATTGTATGTCAACTATACTTCAATTAAAAAGGATAAGAAATAGCATTTATTTATATTGTATCATATCTACCTGTTGACTAATTTGTGGTTCACATTGTAAGCTCTGATAATTTGTTTATACTAATGGTGAAGTGGGGCAGGGAAGGAGGATAAACACTGATAATCCAGATGTTCAGATTATTTGTATTTGTTTATATTTAGGTAAATATAGTGGATGAGTGTTTATAGCCGTGTTACTCCAATTATATTCTTCCAAGATATAATATGAAAATTTATTTTCACTACCAAAGCAAAGAACAGCTGATGATGTGGGAGAAAACCCTAATAATTTATTTAGGGTTACAGAAATAAAGTGAAAAAGAAGAGTTGGCTATAGTTTTAATCATATCCTTTGAGCATAATAGTATATTTTTCAGTTGATAAGAAAGCTGAATTCACATAACTTGTATAGTGGATTTGTTTGTTTTTATTTCCATTTCAAAAGTACTTTCATGTGCAGAATCTTCTTTGAATTTAAATCCAGAAACAGTTAAGTCAGAGGGTTAAGCACTTTGAATTTTATGAATGTCACAGAGACCTACTTTGGTGAAAGCTTGCTAAATAAGTAAATCGAGTTAACTCATTAGTGATCCACCACAATAGTGGCTTTTGGTTTGTTTCTTTGGTTTTGTTTTTTTAAAATAACCAAGGCAGATTTATTATCCCTTTAAATAAGTGTCTAGTGAACCTTATTTCATTCTCATCAGATCTTAGAATTTAGGAGCAGGAAGAGGCTTAAGTAACCTGGGTTTAAACAGAAAGCACTGGAAACTTGGTCAACTTCTTTACATCATAGATAGCAAAACCTATCTTCTATAATATTCTCTATAATGTAGCCCCTCTAGTCAACAGAGAATTAATGTGATTTCTGGATTTTGATGGTGGCTTTTTAAATTTTGATTTCCCCAGGGATGATGATGTTTTGTTTGTGTGTGAAGGAGAACCATTTATTGGTAAGTGACTCCCTTAAAAGCCAATTTTGTCTGCCAAAATAGAGATGAAATTTCAAATATTTTACCTGGCTTTACTAAGCTGAACATGAAAAAGGATCTTGTGGCAGTATTCAGCTCTTCATGGCTCTTTTGATTCTGCATTGGGGTTGGGGGAGTGTCAAAGTAAATTTCTAACTTGAATTAGATAATCATATTTTAGTATGGATACCTCATCTTTTATGTGCTTTTATCTTTTATTTTAAAATGCTCTAGATGTGCACATACCCATTAATTATGACACGATAAGGTAGTTTTGATTTTAGAACTCCGTTGTTTTGAAATTTTCTCTAATAGTAGTTAGCAAATCCCTTTGCTGTGTTACATATTTTTAAGCATGTATGGGTTGCAGAGGGCTTCCCTGGTGGCTCAGTGGTAAAGAATACACCCGCCAGTACAGGAGACTCGGGTTCGATGCCTGGGTTGGGAAGATCCCCTGGAGAAGGAAATGGCAACCCACTCCAGTGTTCTTGCCTGGGAAATCCCACTGACAGAGGAGCATGGTTGGCTACTGTCTCTGGAGTTAGAATCGGACACGACTGAGCAACTAAACAACAGGTTGTTTGCAAAAGTAATGTTTGACAGTCATTCACAACAGAAAAATCAAAGATGACAGTATCAACCACACACACTCAGGCACATATATACACACTACCCTTTAATTTTTAAGAAAGCAGGTACAGCGTATATCTCAAAAGAAAGAGCCTGAGGCTTAAATAAGGTAAATATTCTTTAATGAGTATTTGACATAGTTTCAGACAATCACACTATGAATATTTAAGTATTTTTTAAGCCTTCTCAATATTTATATTTGTTGAGTGGAGGTAGTTCTTAGGATCATCATATGGCAACTTAAAAGTAAGTGCATATTCTCTGTCTTTGCCTTAAGACTGTGCACAAAAAATTTTTCTCATCTTTTTTTACCTGTTAACCTAACAAAGTGGCAGGCAGTAGTCACTTAATTGATTCATTGCATACAAATAAACAATAAAAAGTGATTTAGTGTTTTTTGTTTTATTATTCTGAGCTTTCAGAGTTAAAAATACTTGGTATGTTTTCATCCTCTGTGTTTATTGATACCTAGATTATTTTACTTTTGACCAGTGGAAATCCCTTGAAGTCTTCCTCTTTTTTATACAAATCTGTTAGTCTTTTACAGATTCCTTACTGTCTAGAAAAGCAAAATGTTCATCTGATACTTCTCTTGTCCTAAACCCAGATCGGTTTTTTGTTATTGGAAACGTTCATATCTTTTAGTGGAAAATGTCATTTCAGGACACAATCTGGGTACTGGGGAGGCTCATTGCTCCTGAGTTCATCATCGTTACTAGGTTTTTTGGTGAACAAAATTTGAAATACATAGCTAGTGGATAAGATTCATATGTAATAAATGTTATAGAAAGCTTTATATCATGTATAACATAAAATACCTCATGAAAGTGACTCAGTTGTGTCTGACTCTTTGCAACCACATGGACTGTCCTTGGAATTCTGCAGGCAAGAATACTGGAGTGGGTAGCCATTGCCTTCTCCAGAGGATCTTCCAACCCAGGGATTGAACCCAGGTCTTCCACACTGCAGGTGAATTCTTTACCAGCTGAGCCACCAGGAAAGCATGGGTTCATACTTTGGTTTATAATTAGGATTATAAGATTTTTGTTTTGCATCCAGAATATATTTTGCAAACTTTTACACTGATACCAAAGCCAGGCAAACACACTACAAGATAATTGCAAATATCCTTTATGAATATTGACATTAAAATCCTGAGCAAAATATGAGCAAACCAAAGAAGTATATTGAAAGGGTTATACTCTATGACCAAGTGGGATTTATTCCTGGAATTTGAGAATGGGTCAACAGACATAAAGGAATCAATGTGATATGTTACCTTAGTAGAATGAAGGAAAAACCCCAAAATATCTCCATTGATGCAATACATGATTTTGACAGAATTGCACATCTTTTCACAATAAAAGCACTTAGCAAACTAGAAATAGAAGGAAATTTACTATGATAAAGGCCGTATATGAAAAACCCACAGCTAACACACATCCAGTGGTGAAAGACAAAGCTTTTCCATGAGAATTGGGAGCAATGCCCACTTTTGCAACTTCAGGTTGATATTATGTTAGAGGTTCCAGCCAAAGCAAATGGGCAAGAAGTAAAATTATTTCTATTCTCAGAAAACATGATCTTGTATTTAGATAAACCCTAAACACACATGAAGTTAGAGCTAATAAATGAATTCAGCAGAGTTCCAAGAGTCAAAATCAACACACAAAAATCAGTTGCATTTCTATATACTAGCAATGAGCAATCCAAAAATATACTTTAAAAAAAAGTTCAACTTACAATAGCATAAAAATAAAATGCTTAGGAACGAATGTAACCCCTATCAAAATCTAAATGATGATAAAGCTTTGAAACTAGGGAGAGGTGGTTGAACAGCAGTGTGAATGCACTAAATGCCACCTAATGGTTCACTTAAAATGGTGAATCATATTTCGTCTGGGCGATATTCCAACTTGTGTCTTTTTCTTGTTTACTCCCAGCATTTTACTTTTAGAATATTTCAATAAGCACCCATATACTCATCACCTAGATTCTACTCATTAGCAGTTTACTGTTCTATTCTTTATTATTCTTTATTGCATAATGATCCAGGTCCATTTTATTTTTTGATGCATTTCAAAGAGATTGTCATTATCAATACACTTCACCCTTGAACATTTCAGCTACATATCATCAACTAGAGCTCAATATGTTTTACATATTTTTGAATTAAACTTGCATAAAATGCATAAATTTTAAGTGTATCTTGCTGAGTGTTGACAAATGCACCCATCTGTGTAACCCAAACCCCTATCAAGATATAGAATGTTAAATCATCCTAGAAATTTCCCTCAGGTTCTTTCTTAGTCCCACCCCTACCCCACCAGAGACAACTACTGATTTTGTGCCTGCTGCTTGTTGCTGCTAAGTCACTTCAGTCGTGTCCGACTCTGTGCGACCCCATAGAAGGCAGCCCACAAGGCTCCGCTGTCCCTGGGATTCTCCAGGCAAGAACACTGGAGTGGGCTGCCATTTCCTTCTCCAATGCATGAAAGTGAAAAGTGAAAGTGAAGTTGCTCAGTTGTATCTGACTCTTCGTGACCCCATGGACTGCAGCCTACCAGGCTCCTCTGCCCATGGGAATTTCTAGGCAGGAGTACTGGAGTGGGTTGCCATTGCCTTCTCCGAATTTTGTCCCTACCATACAATAATTTTCCGTGTTATATAAACCTTTATATAGTTGGAATCACAGAACATGTATTCTTTTGTATAAGGCTTCTGTCATTCAACAGAATATCTTAAGAACTGATTCTCTTTTCAATTCAGTTCAGTCGCTCAATTGTGTCCGACTCTTTGCAACCCCATGAACTGCAGAATGCCAGGCTTCCCTGTCCATCACCAACTCCTGGAGCCTACTCAAACTCATGTCCATTGCGTCAGTGATGCCATCTAACCATCTCATCCTCTGTCGTCCCCTTCTCCCTCCTCTAGTGTTTTCTAGCATCAAGCTCTTTTCCAATGAGTTGGTTCTTCACATTAAGTGGCCAAAGTATTGGAGTTTCAGCTTCAGCATCAATCCTTCCAATGACTATATAGGACTCATTTCCTTTAGGATTGACTGATTGGCTCTCCTTGCAGTCCAAGAGACTCTCAAGGGTCTTCTCCAACACCACAGTTCAAAAGCATCAATTCTTTGGCGCTCAGCTTTCTTTATAGTCCAACTCTCACATCCATACATGACTACTGGAAAAACCATAGCTTTGACTAGATGGACCTTTGTTGGCAAGGTAATGTCTCTGCTTTTTAATATGCTCTCTAGGTTGGTCATAGCTTTTTTCCCAAGGAGCAAGGCGTCTTTTAATTTCTTGGCTGCAGTCACCATCTGCAGTGACTTTGGAGCCCCAAAAAATAAAGTCAGCCACTGTTTCCACTTTTTCCCCATCTATTTGCCATGAAGTGATGGGACTGGATGCCATGATCTTAGTTTTTTGAATGTTGAGTTTTAACCCAGCTTTTTCACTGTACTCTTTCACTTTTATCAAGAGGCTTTTTAGTTCTTCTTTTCTTCTGCCCTGAGGGTGGTGTCATCTGTGTATCTGAGGTTATTTGTATTTCTCCTGGCAGTCTTGTTGTTTCATGTCCAGTTCTGACTGTTGCCTCTTGATGTGCATACAGATTTCTCAGGAGGCAGGTCAGGTGGTCTGGTCTGGTATTCCCATCTCTTGAACAGTTTTCCACAGTTGTGATTCACACAGTCAAAAGGCTTTGGCGTAGTCAATAAAACAGAAGTAGATGTTTTTCTGGAACTCTCTTGTGTTTTCAATGATCCAACAGATGTTGGCAATTTGATTTCTGGTTCTTCTGCCTTCTCTAAATCTAGCTTGAACATCTTGAAGTTTTCAGTTCACGTACTGTTGAAGCCTGGCTTGGAGAATTTTGAGCATTACTTTGCTAGTGTGTGAGATTAGTGCAGTTGTGCAGTAGTCTGAACGTTCTTTGATATTGCCTTTCTTTGGGATTGGAATGAAAACTGACCTTTTTCAGTCCTGTGGCCACTGCTGAGTTTTCCAAATTTGCTGGCATACTGAGTGCAGCACTTTGACAACATCATCTTTCAGGATTTGAAATAGCTCATCTGGAATTCCATCACCTCCACTAGCTTTGTTCATAGTGATACTTCCTAAGGCCCACTTGACTTTGCGTTCCAGGATGTCTGGCTCTAGATGAGTGATCACACCATCATGGTTATCTGGGTCATGAAGATCTTTTTGTATAGTTCTTCTGTGTATTCTTGCCACCTCTTCTTAATATCTTCTGCTTCTGTTAGGTCCATAACATTTCTGTCCTTTATTGTGCCCATCTTTGCATGAAATGTTCCCTTGGTATCTCTAATTTTCTTGAAGAGGTCT